TATATCTCACAAAAAAACTGTGATAAGGGAATTTTCATGCGACTGGGATCTTAGTATTTGCAAAATAGCTTTTCTTTCTTTTTTCAACCATTTGTGAAATTTATCTCTATCTCTTTTACCTGTATGTATGTGAGGTTTCTGTACCTCCACCATCCCTTTCAGTCTTTTTTAAGGAGGCAACACCATCAATACTTTCATTGTTTTTCAATAAATCTGTTATTAAAATAGTGCATGTAAGGGGTGTTTACTTGTTATCTTTGCGTGTCATTTTTACATGTACATCATAAACCCCTATGAGCTGTTGCTCACACTTTTTATTCCACCTCCTTCCTTCGCTTCATCACTGAATACAATGCGGTTGTTTATTCTTGGCCCATTTCAAATCCTCATTTTTTTCTTGTGATCAATGTGAGTTCTTAATGCGGGTGAAGAAGAGAAAGGGGTTGAAACCGACCCACCGTTACTATGCCCCTGATCCACCTCTGCCCCATATTATCTTGCAGTTTTTCTGTAATTTGAGAAATACACCAATCTACAGAATGTGATACAGAAAACATTTCTGACGGTGGTGAGCAAAAAAATTTTTTTTTGTATTCCAAATGCTGAATTGTAAAGGGTTTGTGACACTGATCACAGCCCTCTTGGGTATTTCCACTCAGATTTCAGGGAAATCCCCCAAAGTTTATATTAATAATGTACATCTAATCCCAACATTATGCTCCGAAAGACACCCTGCCTTAGATCTTGGCAGATTGTTGTCTATGATGTGAAAGGGTTAGGTAAAGTATTTAGTAATTAGGGGTTTGTACCTGCACAAAATTTTAAGGAACTATGAAGGGGTTTTGGATAGCATGAAGAGTACATTTAATTTTTTTTTAACTGCAGCATAAAAACTAAACTTTTTAGCATCTTTCTAGGCACAATTGGGAGGTGTGTGCGCTGCTTTACAATTGTGAGCCAAATTTGTACAAACTAGCAGTGTTTAGTGTTTACTAAAGATAGTCTGTATGAATAGCAGCTACTTTGCCTAGATCATTATATCAAATTACTCCTGAGTGCTGCCGGCCCAGTTTGGGCATGATTAGGTCGTAGCATTGGCATAAAGCTACAGCCGAAGGACGACAGTGTTTCCTGTTCTCCTTTGATAGTCAAACAACTTTACTGCAAACATGAATAAAAAAGATGTTATAACAACTAGATTATAATTTTCTTGCTTTATATAGAAATTGACTGAAAAAAGTTCATAATTTTGAATGTTTTTTTTTGTTTTTTTTACTATATGTTAATATTTAGAAAGTTTAGGTTAAACTAGACTTGAATCAGTTAGACTGGATTTAACTTCTCTTATAAGGGTTAGGGTTAAACTCTATCCCTAATTTTGACTATATTAGATATTTATATATAACTAAGTGACAAATTAATGCTGGTGATTTGTGAAAGGCCAGTGACCCTCACTCTTCCTCAGTCACATAAATAGAAATCGTTCATGGATGGATAAAGTACATAAAACAACAAGAGAATACGTGTACTTAAAGTGACAGACAACGTAACAAGTTCATGCAATGTAAAACCATTCATGCAAGACATGGTATCATGCAACATAAAATCGTTCTTTATAAACCACAAAGAAATTCTTACAACCCAACCGTTCGCCCTTGACCCCGATTCTCCAAACCAAAAAAGTCCCTCGAGTCAAAAGCGAGTTACCGACGGACTTTTTAATCCCCCATACAGAGGCCGTAATGCCCATTGTTGCTGTTTTTTATTTTTTTTGGCGTCAGACTCGCACTCACCCAGACTGGCAGAGCTTTTGCTTCCTTCACAGCATTGAGGTTGTCAATGTAAGAATGATTCTGTCCATCCAAAAGAAGAGATTCATATAATAAATGAATGAAACTGACATTCTAGGTGGGGAGAAAGAGCCAAGCAGTTCCACAATAAAATCCTATGTTCTTGTGTTTGGCAGCTGAAATTCTCGTCCCATGGCCTTGCTAAAAATTTCAAAAGGCACAAAGAGTCCGTCCACCCGGAGCAGCATTATTTGTGGAAGGAGAATTTTCCTGGTGCTGTTTCTTCGTTCTGATGAACTGAATTTGGTCTCAGGTTTTCCTGATGATGCATTATGGGTAGTATAGTTAATGGATGTCACTGAATTAGTCCAGCGAATGCTTCCAAAACGTCACCCTGCAGTCATCTGGTAAATAGCAACTCTCCTTTCGGCTGTTGTCCCTGCCATCCTCGAAGTAGGATGGAGTAATGCTCTGATCATAATTTAGCTTAATGTGGAGGGTCAACGCCTCACAGTGATGTAGGTGATGTGATGTTTACTCACTGCTGAAGCTGACAGGTTGTGGACATTTCAAACAAACCTGAAAAGAACAAAAATACTTACTAAAAAAGGATAGAAAGGCAAAAAAATGCAGCTGAAGAAAACATCTGTAAATCATAGTATAATTTGTAAGGCAGGAAGAATGACAGATATGTTATGTACAGTTATAATCTGTATGTGCGTGTGTGTGTTTAAGCGTTATAATCACATGTTGGCAAGCTATCAGAGGGGTTGTCTCAAAGATGTTTATAGCAACTCTTTGAACTATGTTCCATCGTAGAAAAGAAAAACCACACGAGGCTTCTCTCTGGTTGAGCATCCTTTTGATGATCATGGATTGCGTTTTTTTTATCACAGTAAAGTATCTTAAATAGGATTTTAATTAGCTTCAAATATTTTGGCAGATTTGTTTAAAACCTTCAGATCAATCTGGTAAACAAAAACAAATGTGACTGCTGCTGGATTTCCAACATTATGGCTTGGAAGAATATTCCAAACTTGAAATGCGAAATGATTCACATCTTCATCATTTCATATCTTCTGTGTTTGATTGAATTTAGAGGTATTATCAGGTTTATTAAGTATTTGTTCTAGGATGGTCCTATTTTTCTGCATCTAATTTTCTCTATCATCTTTGACGTGGGGCTGCTCAGTGGCGCAGTGGGTAGCACTGCTGCCTTGCATCAAGAAGGTTCTGGGTTTGAATCCCGGCCCAGGGTCTTTCTGCATGGAGTTTGCATGTTCTCCCTGAGCATGCGTGGGTTCTCTCCGGGTACTCCAGCTTGTTCCCACAGTCCAAAAACATGACTGTTAGGTTAATTGGCAAACATTGTGTGCGATGGACTGGCGACCTGTCCAGGGTGTACCCCGCCTCTTTCCCATTGACAGCTGCCCTCGTGACCCTACTTGGGACTAAGCGTGTTGGAAAATGGATGGATTTTTTGACGTTCTTTCTTGTCCTTGAACAACAGCATCCCCATTGTATGATGTTGCCAAGAACTCTGTTAAACAAACCTAGGAGAGTGTATTATTAAGTGTTAGCTTTCTTTCCAAAAACTAACATGAAGGGTAAAACCGGATTTTTTATTAATTACTTCATCAATGGAGATTGTTTTGCCATTTATTATTAGTTTCTAGATGTTTGTCTTTGCATTGCATAAAGGGGGCCAAATACTAATGCTTGTTGCATTCATTCAAGCTTTCAATGAATGCATCCAAATGGAAAACAATTCATATAATTTAAAACCTGGTGTAGGTACCAGGTGACAGAGGAACTGTCACCAGAGCACCAAAACTTTGCAACTTACACTGACTGGGCTTCTACTCTGCAGACTCTTGAGGTGATTAAAAAGCTTTAAAATACAATATATTTAAAACAGCTTTTGTTTCGGCAGCAGTTAATTATATGTTTTTGGTTTTATTGATTTATTTACTTTATACATAAAATTTTGATATACTGTATCTCTCGAAAGGTGCAATATAAAATAGAATTTTACCTTATTACTTTTTTTATTCCCAAGTACAATAAGTATCAAATAAACTGCTTTACATTTGTCTTAGCATTTATAATGATAAGCAATAATATTGACGTTATTGCAACATTAAAAAAACGTAAACAATTTCATGTGATATGAATAGTTTTTATATTCAAATAAATGTGATAAATAACCCAATCAAAAAGAAATGTCAACTTAAGAAATTTAACAAAAAAACTGTAAAAGAAAAGTAATTTTTTTCCAAAACCCACCTTAAAGGCTGCAAAATAAGAGTCCAATTAGATTGGTATAGATTTCATCTTGACCATAGAGGCGAGTTCTTGTTTGGTGGCATGATCATGCCTTTTCTGCCTCAACCTGGAATTACAAAAAAGCAGCAGGATCTTAGGTCCCTGCCAGAAATACGGAACATAGAGCTGTTAAACATTTAGGGAATGTCTGTGTGTGTTTGTGTCTCACCATATAACAAAAATCAAGGATAGGACGGTGGTGAGTATGAAGATGGAGAACAAAACCAAGAGGATGACCAGTCCCAAATTACCTTCATCCCCTTGTAAACCTGAATATCAAGAAGGTGTGGGGGGGGGGAGAAACAGATTGTTACCAAAAAAAAAAGGCAGGATAGGAAGCGTAAAGTATAAATATTAAAAATATATATAAATAAAGATAAAGAATTGAGAGTTTGACTGAGGAAAATTGGGAACATGAAAGTAAAACAAAACCCAGTGGATGCAGATGGGTTTAAAGAAAAAACAGAAGAGATTTCACACATTGCTGGCTTGTTGTTTACGAAATTGGGCCAAAAAAAAAAAAAAAAAAACTGCTGGTGTGGTCTTGGATGTAATTACTCCATGGTTAGAAGGCAATCTGAAGACTGCCATTCCAGCTTTTACACAAACATCCAACCATTACGCTTATATAGGAGAACAAAACTTCTTCCACACAAACAGAGAAAAAAATCCCCTTTCAAATGTATAATCAGCACTTCATGTATACAAATGAAATAAACTACTGTTATTAAGTTAATCTCTGCTTTGCCTCTTACATGTAGGTGTTTGTGTATGCTTGTTGCAGGCCTCCCACATGCGTACAGTAAGGAGAGGCCAGCAGTCAGCTTTTAACCCTGTTTCAGCCTGTGTGTGTGTGTGTGTGTGTGT